ATGACCTAGGCTGATGCCACGGCACTCACTCTAGCCCGGGCAACAAAGCGAGACTCTGTCTCAAAAAAAAAAAAAAGGAGTGAAGAAAAAACCCTTCGACCCATGGTCTGGTATCAAATCAATCTCTCAGCTATATAGCCAACAAAACTCCAAAGATTTCATCTCTTCCCAGCTTCCCTCACCAGCCCCTTCTAAAGGCTGGCTGAAAGAAGGAAGGGTTGAGGGAAGGAGCAATCTGAGTCTAGTTGTTGTACATGATATGCCATCAATGCTCGATTGCCTTATGTGTCAGCTCCCATGTGTGCTGTATGATTCCTAGGGCCCTCTTCAGTAAGGGACAGTGATGACACGGACACTACTGTGTCTAAACAGATAATTAAAAAACCAAATCCCATTTGGAAGGGACTAGAAAAAACTCTGTGGAATATTATCAGATCCATTCAAAGTGACCAAAGGGGAAATTATATTAAGATTTTAGCAATGTAGGAAAAAAGAACTGGAAGAGCATATAGACAAGTAAAACACTTGGACAATTTAGAGAGACCTGATGTTGGTGAATCATTTAATTTGGAATTACCCTAATGTTGCTATAATGTATAATTTTGTTTGATAATAAATTAAAATGTTCTTGACTTTTATCTATCGCTACATAATAAACCACTCCAAAACTTAGAGGCGTAATACAACCCTTCATTATGTCTCACAATTGCATGAATTGGATGGGCAGATATTCCATAGGTCTCACTTGGGGTCTCTCACCAGTTTGCTGTGAAGTGGCAGGGGCTGGTGCTCTTCTGTGTGGTCTCTTTCTGCACATGATGTCATCCTCCAGAGCTTCATGTGGTGGCTCGGGGTCCAAGAGGGAGAAACAAAAGCTGCCAGACCTTCTTAAAGTCTGAGCTCAGAAGTCCTAGACCTTCACCTCCTCCACATTCTGTTAGAATGTCACAGACCCAGCCCAGATGAGAAGGGAAGGGACATGAACTCCACCTCTTTTTAATTTAATTTTATTTATTTATTTTGAGACAAAGTCTCACTCCTGTTGCCTGGGCTAGAGTGCCGTGGCATCAGACGAGCTCACAGCAACCTCAGACTCCTGGGCTAAAGTGATCCTCCTGCCTCAGCCTCCCGAGTAGCTGGGACTACAGGCATGTGCCACCATGCCCGGCTAATTTTCTTCTATATATTTTTAGTTGTTTGGTTAATTGCTTTCTATATTTTTAGAAAGAAAGCAATTAGTAGAGACAGGGTCTCGCTCTTGCTCAGGCTGGCCTCGAACTCCTGAGCTCAAACGATCCTCCCGCCTCAGCCTCCCAGAGTGTTAGGATTGCAGGCGTGAGCCACCTCACCCGGCCCAGAACTCCACCTCTTGATGGGAGAAGTAACATGCAACTGTAGTGAGGGGCAGTATTGTTTGAGACATCTTTGCAGATCAGCCATCACATTGACTGTTTAAAAAATCATAATGAAATCATAAGCCAGTAATTAATCATCAGTCTGATTTGTATTTTCTTAGTCCATTCATTTATTCAAAATGGACAAGGTAGTTTGTGTCAGTCACTATTCCAAGTGCTGGGCATATAGCATTGAACAAAACATAAATGCCCAAGCCTCATGGAGCTTACATTCTTAAATTCTTACATTGCAAATAAGCAAGTAAACAAATCACTAAAAGGTAATGTGCGCAGGTGGGAGGATACTTTAGAGTGAACAAAGAAGCTCTCTTGGAAGTGATATTTGAAGATCAGGGGGGGAAAGCATTTACTACTGCCAATTTCCAGACCCTGGAAGAGCTTCAGGTGTTCATTTGAAGGAACCACACAAAGGCCAATGTGCTTGGGGAGCAGGGAGTGAGGAGGAGAATGATTTGGATTAGGTCACAGAGGTAGTCACGGGTCAGGTCATGAAGGGCCTTGAAGGCCAGGGTTAAGGACTTGGGGTTTAATCCTGGATAATGGGAGACAATACAAAGGTTTAATTCATTAATGTAGAAAATGTATGGATTTCCTTGTTCAAAAGATCACTCTCCCTTTAGGGAATGAATTGTAGGTGTCAAGGGTGACTAAATAGGCTCTTACAGTAGGTGCTGGAGGCTTGAACGAGGGTGATAGCCAAATTACAGGAAGTCAGTGGAACAGTAATAAATTTTGAGGACATTGCCAATAAGCACTGCTGATGGGTTGTATTTGGGGAATGAAAAGAAAGGAGAAAAACACAGAGACCTCATGGGTTTCTTCTTTCAGCAGTGGAGTGGAGACAGTGACATTCACTTACAGGGAGAAGACTGATGGAAGAACAGATTTTTATTGTTGGGTAAGACAATCAAGATAATTAACAATTCCGTTAGGAACATGTTTACGTTATACTCACACAATAATTTGTAATTGAACTATATGACTTGATTTATGGTTTATCCAAATCTGTGCAAGAATAAGCCATGTTAGAACATAATGCCAAACTACTTGGGAAACGAGAATATATTATATACTATATATTTAAAGTACAAAGTCACCAAGCAAGTCAGTGTTTCTGTTAAGATAACAGCTACCATTTATTGAGGGGTTTCTATTTGTTTGAACCACATGGGATTGTGAATTCCAACAATTTTGGACTTGAAAATGACAATGCTGTATGGTTCATCTTAATATATACTAGCCACAGAGCTAGATGTTTATATATAAATTAATGAATATTCATTAAAATCCTTTAAGGTAGGCTTTTTATTATAATCGATAAAATGAAGTTTCTGAAAGATTTTAAATAACCTGCCAAAAATCTAATGACAAGTAAGTAGGTAGGCAAGATTCAAAACAAGGTCTGACATAACATCTTACCCATAAAGTTACACTAACCAGATTTCTAGCCAAAGAATCATGTTTCCTTCCCTCACATGAGGAAAGCTTCAGATCCACAAGGCACAGATATCCAGACACAGAAGTGCTTGGTCTGACTGGATGGACAATTGCTGACTGTCTCCCTCCTATACAGAACCAAATTCCAGTTGACCTTACAAGCCTTCAGTGCATTTTAGAAGTAAATACAATGAACAAAGAAAAATGACACAGTGGTTTAACACTATTAAGAGTTGCTCAAAAATTCCCATCATGAGCCAATGCGGTAGTGGGCACCTGTAGTCCCAGCTACTCAGAAGGCTGAGGCAGGAGGATCACTTGAGATCACAAGTTCAAGGCTGCAGTGCACTAAGATCACACCTGTGAATAGCCACTGCACTCCAGCCTGGGCAACAAGACCCTGACTCTTTAAAACAAATCCTATCAAATTTATCTCTTCAATAAATTTTAGCTTCTTTTCCATATTTATCATTGAAGCTCTAATCTGCAAATATGTTAAATATAAAACAAGTGGTTCTAGCCTCAGAAAAAAATATAATGCCACAGATTGCAGCCTGTCAGCAGCCAACAAGCTTTGACCGCTCTTATCAACTGCCTTACAGCACATTTATTCATGGACTCGCAAGCATCCCTATGCACAATTAAAAGTGGTACTGTAGGCCAGGTGTGGTGGCTCACGCCTGTAATCCAAGCACTCTGGGAGGCCGAAGCAGGCGGATTGTTTGAGCTCAGGAGTTCAAGACCAACCTGAGCAAGAGCGAGACCCCTGTCTCTACTAAAAAAATAGAAATTACTGGACAATTAAAAAATATATATATATATATAAAAATTAGCCGGGCATGGTGGCGCATGCCTGTAGTCCCAGCTACTCAGGAAGCTGAGGCAGAAGGATCACTTGAGCCCAGGAGTTTGAGGTTGCTGTGAGCTAGGCTGATGCCATGAGCTACTCTGATGCCACAGAGTAAGACTCTCTCACAAAAAAAAAACAACAAAAAACTACCAGAGAGTAGGATTCAATATGGAAATATGTAAAATGTTATCAGTTACAGGAACTTCAGGCTTTTCCCTATTTTACATAGTATCTAGATTTCAGTAAAATTAAGAAACTCCGTATATATTTCCTCTAACAGTGCCTGTGAACCAATTAAGAACTCTCTAAGTACAGAATGGCTATTTCAGTTTGGTCAGTTAGCAATTAGTTGTTTAAGTCAAAAGACGAAAAAAGTTTATGTGACTAAAAAGCTTTCTGTCCACCTTTGGGAAGAATGCTTTCCACATAGATCCTGCATTGATGGTATCCAATCAGAGCTAACAGTCTTTTGTAATGTAAGCAGTAGAAATAGTCATCAATTAAATCACACTCCTGCTAAAGCAAAGTTGAATTTTCAATGCATTATTCAAGTAGAATCTATTCTCAAATGCTGTGTATTAATAGATCAGGGGTTCTATGAGTACAGTGGCTGGTCCCCAGACTAGTCCAAGAAATAAGAGCAGTACTTAGTCTCTAAATTCCCATCCAGCTTTGTTATTCTAATAGTAAATAAACACCCTGAGTCCTTACTACATGCCAGACATGATGCTTTGTGCTTTACCAACATCTTTTCATTTATATCTCCTAACAAACTTATGCAGTAAGTCACATTGTCTTTGCTTTAACTGAAGCTAAGAGATGTTAGTATCTTTCCAAGGTCCAAAACTAGTGCAGAGCTGGGATTTAAACTCAACCATTTTGGCCTCAGAACCAATGCTCTTATCCCCTATTATATAATATATATTTTTAATTATACATATTTATATAAAATCTATACATATGTCATTTATATATTTTTTCAGTGGTAGAGCTGATTACTGTGGAGGTGGTGAATGGCAATGCTTGTATTATAAAGGCGGTCAAAGGGTCTAGAATCTTGAACTCAGCCTAGAAACCACGTGTGCTTATCTTTTTGGCGATCCTCTATATTCTTAAAGGTTATTTATGTGATTTTTATATTCAAGTTTTTTCTACACATCACTTTCCTGAAAAATAATGCTTTTGCCATTGAGATCAATAGTTAAAATCTTAATTGTGTCTGATCACTAATAGAGATGGATTACTTAGTGATCTTACGTTTGGCAACAATACAGACAAAAAACACGGTAGAAAACACAGCAAGATAACCCTTCACAGTGTTAATTCTGGTCTCCTCTCTGCCCGCGGCAGACTGTGCGAATGAATAGACATGAGTCATACTGGGTAGAGTGAAGAGAAGCAAGGTGACAGATGTTCAACCATTAGCTCTCCAAAAGCCCTACAGGAAAAGATTCAGGTACATTCTGACAGAGCTTTTGTTCCCAGAGATTAAATAAAGTAAGATGTCAGGGCAAAGAGAGGAGAGGCAATCTGGGCGAGAAGACACGTGGGAGAGAAACCCCGAGCTCTCACCAGAGCCTGCACCGTGACTAGCCCAGAGCTAGGCTAGTTTGAAGCTGAGGCAGAGCTGAGCTGATCTTGTTGTCACCCTGTGGGTTCCACCATTCGCCAGAGCATTGTTTGTCCAGTGTGAAGGGACGCTTGCTCTTTTCATATTCCTTTGATTGACCATCGCTTGGGAATAATCCCCCATCTAACAGCCCATGACACTCATCCACAATGCTTTGCTCCCCTCTCTGCCCCCAACATGGAGGGAGAAAACCTGTATCCTGGTTGAGTGATGGCAGAGAAGGCCTGGCCGCTTTGTTGGGTGATGTTGGTGACAGGTGAAAGGGAAATCTTGGGTCCAAAGCAAGCAGGATTATCTGGAGTCATTGTGGAATCATCCGCTGAGCCAGGTCAGCAGGGAAACACACGACCCCATTTTGGAGTGTTAAGTGTCTTGTCACAGGCAGAGGATGTTAGAACTGGAAGAGGACTTGGAGACCATCTAGCCTGCCTTCCTCATAGCAGAGGAAGCCCAGAAAGAAGCAAATGAGGCCTGGAAAGGGGACCTGACTTGCTTGAAGTCAAATAGCTGGTTATTATCAAATAGCTCAGTCAGAGCCAGGAAAAAAATGTCTTCGGTGAGTGTAATTCTCTCTCCACTGCACAACGCAGGCAAATCTGGCTCAGCAGCTCTTTCTTCCAAGGGAAGATATTTCTTGGATCCTCCCTCAAGTCATGATAAGTTGAATGGAGAGTGCAGTTCCTGTGATCTTAGAAGTCCACAGTGATACCAAAATTAGGTACTTCTTGAATTTCGTTTACTGCCCTGAAATATGGTGAAGACATTTTTTTAAATGGCTGTGGGAGAGCCATAACTGCTCATGGACAATTTCCCTTTCACCGAGACACTATGGGACTGCTCAGATTAGCCCACAGGTGCCTGAAACAGAGTGGCAGAATGCACTTCATTTTCTTGAAGAAAGTCCAAGCTTCTGCCCCCATGATAAAAGAGGAACCGACACTCCATACAGCTAAACCTGTGTCCTCCTGCTTATTCTTCCATGAACACTTTTGTCATTCGAATTTTTACAGGTGGAGGAGGGTGTCATCCTATTGCTTAGCATTTCTCAAATGATCTCTTTGTACTTTACACTCTCCACAGCAATTGATCTTGGGATGTTTCAGTGGCTTCACGCCCTCACCATTATTACACCAATAAAATGTAGCAGATTATATTTTCCATATTTGTTCTGCATGAGCTTCTATTCTCTTTATGGTTCTTTGTCTTTAGGAACTTTTTTTCTTGGAGAAACACTAGTTTTTAAGCACCATTTCATGTCAGAATGGATTTAGACAGTTTTGTTTTTGTAGCAGGTAAAAAACTTTAAAGACTTTTCTTCGAGAGGCATTGATGGACCATTCAAATAATAACATCTTGTTTATAAGACTTGCAGATAGCCAGATATTCAATGAATCAAAAGTGTCTCTCATAAATATTAAGCTGACTCCTGATTAACATTTTATACTCTTATTAACATTTTACACATTGTTTCTGTTCAACCAATTTCAGAACTTCATGAAAAAGTTGAGTAGTAGGTTGAGTAATAGGGTAACACAATGGGAGCCTTTTTTCCAAGGCTGGCATGTGAATAAAGTACCTGCAAATCATAAAAAGAAAACAGAGAGCTTTAAGTACAAGAATTTTCACATTGGTCACAGGGGTGCTTTCACGCTTGCTGGGTAGGGGTGTTGGGTGTGGGAGCCTAAGCCACAAGACCGGGTTGACATTTTCAGCCCTCCAATCTCCCTCATTGGTGACCTGGAAAATGTCTGATAGGTGTGCCCTTTGGTTCACTGAAACACTTTACTTTAGCAAAGGAAGTGAATTTCATGAATAATACATCATTCATCAAAGCATTAATAAGGAAGCCAGGATGTCCTCACCACAGTATGAGCTGAGGCTCCTGCTTCTTGGTTTCTCGGGCAATGCACAGTGGGGAGTTGAAATGAAAGGGTCAAGCTGTGCTGACTACTAGGGCCAAGTCAAGAGGGAAGAGTAGGGTCATCCCCACGGCCTAAGTAAACGCAGAGGGAAGACCATGGGTGAGACAAAGGTGAGAAGGCCTTCACCCCCTTGGATGCCTTAAAAGAATGGCTCTCAACCCTGCGTGCACATTAGAATCACCTGGAGAGCTTCTTTAAAAAGTCACTGCCCTGTCCCCTTCCCAGACAAACTGAAACAGAATCTCTACATGTGAGACCTGGGTATCAATATTTTTTAGTACAGGTTGAGTATCCCTTATCCAAAATGCTTGGGACCAGAACTGTTTAGAATTTCAGAGTTTTAGATTTTGGAATATTTGCGTTATATTTATTGGTTGAGCATCCCTAATCTGAAAAGTCTGAAATCCAAAATGCTCCAAGGAGCATTTCCTTTGAGCATCCTGTTAGTGCTCAAAAGATTTCAGATTTTGGAGCATTTCAAATTTCAGGCGTTTGGATTAGGGATGCAACCACTTCGGTACAAGCGTCAACTATAATCGACAGCCACAGCTGAAAGCACACAGCAACTTTAGCCGATAGCCATGATATGACTTTTCTAATTTTTCATTTATCAAAATAAAATTGTGAACATTTAAAAATAACGTAATGAAAACAAATATGTATATGTTACCTATTCTGATTTCCATTACAAGTAAAGCTGCCTGTAAAGGAAAACAAGCTTTCAGTGCTCTAAAGCTTTCCTCATCGCACAAGAGCAAAACGGGTTCGTCGTCAGTGCACAGCACAAACTATCTCGTGGACTATGAGTGCCGGCTGTGGGCAAGGTTTCCCAGCCAGTGAGCACCATGCTGAAGTAGTTAACCTCTAGTTACTCAGGTGACTCTAATGCAAAGCAACTTGAAAATCACTAGTTTAAAACAATGGTCTGAAACATAAATGCCCACAAATAATGTAAATTAGGGAGGTTGGGTAAGAGTAAGCAGGAGTGAGAGGAGGAGATGGCAGCAAACTGAGCAGTGATGAGCGCCAGAGCAGGTAGCTGCCATTCAGCCCCACCCAACTGTTGTCTTCTAGAAGCGTGACACCATTTTTGCCACTTGTCCTGATTTTTAAATGTTCATAACTAAGTTTTAAAAATTGGGTTGTATGATACATGCTACAACGTGGAATCTTGAAAATAATTAATGTAAGTGAAAGAAGCCTTGTATTATATAATCCATTTATAGGAACTGTCCAGAATAGGCAAATCTACCAAGACAGAAATTAGTGGTTTCCAGGGGCTAGGGAGGAGGGGACAATAGGATGTGAGTGCTTAATGGATACTGAGTTTCTTGTGGGGTGAAGAAGATGTTCTGCGATTAGAAAGTGGTGATGGTTGCAAAATACTATGAAATATACTAAAAGCCACTGAATTGCACACTTTAAAATGGTGACTTTCATGCTATGCAAAATTTTTTTTTAAGTGAGGAGGTAGGGGTGTGAAGGGGTAGGAATTGGGTTGTTTGAATCAATTCAGAGCCAAATAAATCCCTTTTATGGGAGCCAGAATGGAACCTCCAGTGTAACACCATATGGAAGAAAAACATAGTCTACAAATTGGGCTGAATTTTTTTTTAAGTCAATCTAACACCATTAATGTAAGCCTCCACATCCTTTTATGTTTCCATCCAAACTAGCGACAAAGCTATGTCTGCTGCACCCTTTGTATCTTAAGTCAGACACAACCTGGGTCTCTTCCTCACTAGGTGCTAATGCAGGGCTGTACCACTTAGTACACGTGGCTGTGCCAGCCCGTAAGCACAAGTGGAGCCCCTGAGATGCAGGAGCACGGGCTGGCTGATGACACCAAGGCTGGCTTCTGCGGTTTCTTAGTGTCCTGTTACTGAAAGAGAGGGGTAAATGAAATAACCCCCCCATAAGCAGGTTCATTAATTGTTCCTCCTTTATCAATTGCTTCTTCCTAATGACTCAGTCCTGTTCAATAAAGTTTGCTACTCTTTATTACCCACAGCAGGTTAAAATCATAACTACTTCTGTGAAATGCGGCTATAATAAAGACAGTGAGAAACAGTTCCTCAAAGAGAGTTTGATGTTTCACTAGTCTTCTCTGGCCTGGAAATAAACTTCAAATGGCAATGGTTCTTAGAGCTCCCCCAAATCCTACCTTATCTCAGATCAAAGTGAAATAGTATTAAAAACAGAAACAGAATTTTCTATCACCTAATCTTTTAAGTATTGGGCCACGTTGGGGGTTTGCATGAAAATCAGACATGAGTGGGGTTTTACTGTAGATTAGATTCAGACTTTTTTCTTACCTGAATTCTTCTCTGTAGTCATTCCTAATATACTCAGCTAGAGTCTTGCTATACTGCAGGCAGCTCTTGAGGATGTACAACTGCTGGTACAACAGGACGGCTTTGCAGGGACTGAGCAGCTGAAACGAAGCTGAAAGCCCCTTCACCACTTGTTTCACAATACTGGCCAGAAAAGTAATCTAAACAAGGAAAGTGTAGTTACACGTAAGCTGCATGCCACCCATAAAAGTGACTATGTCAGCTACAAATCTAAACTGAAGCCCTCACTGTCCCTACACCAGTGCACTGCGAAATTTTAAACTATTTCTCATTGAAATAGTACTCAGTCATCTTCACCCAAAATTTTAAAAATCAGGCATGGTGGCATGTGCCTGCAGTCCCAGCTAGTTGGGAGGCTGAGGCAGGAGGATTGCTTGAGCCCAGGAGTTTGAGGTTTCAGTGTGATCTAGCCTGGGAGTCAGAGTAAAACCCTGTCTCCAGAAAACAAAAAGAAATAGTACTCAGTGTCAACTAAAAATTATAGGAGGCCATTATTTTAAACTAAGCTTCTGCACTAGGCCCCAACAGACCAGACTAAAAATCAAAATGGTGTCACCTATGCTAAAATTCAATGTCACCAAACCCAAACTAAGTTGTCTGACATTCAGACACAGATAACAGCCAGTTTCCCAAACAGGCTGGTTTAAAAATCTTTTTTTTTTTTGAGACAGAGTCTCACTTTGTTGCCCAGGCTAGAGTGAGTGCCATGGCGTCAGCCTAGCTCACAGCAACCTCAAACTCCTGGGGCTCGAGTGATCCTTCTGCCTCAGCCTCCCGGGTAGCTGGGACTACAGGCATGTGCCCACCATGCCCGGCTAATTTTATATATATATAGTTGGCCAATTAATTTCTTTTTATTTATAGTAGAGACGGGGTCTCGCTCTTGCTCAGGCTGGTTTGAACTCCTGACTTGAGCAATCCGCCCGCCTCGGCCTCTAATAAACTTTTAGATTATAAATTTGTGTGGATTTTGTAAGAGTAGGAGGGTTTTCTTACACCTAGTTTATGTTAATACATATTAAAGAAGCTTAACAGTGAAAAAATTTATTTTGTAAGAATTTTAAAGTTTAACAATCAATGCTGATAAAACACCACAAACATAGGCAACAAAAGGAAAATAGGCATGTGAGACTACTACATCAAACTAAAAACTTCCACATAGCAAAAAAATCAGAGTAAAAGGCAACCTATGGATGGGGAAAATATTTGTAAGTTATATCTGATAAGGGATTATATTCAAATACATAAGGAACTCATATAATTCAATAGCAAAAAAATCAATAACCTTTTTAAAAATGGGCAAAAGACCTAGATAGATATTTCTCGAAGTAGACATACAAATCTCAAATTATAAAAAGATGCCCAGAGTTACTAATCGTTAGGAAATGCAAATCAACCCATGATTAAATATTACCTCACACCTGTTAGGATGGCATTAGCAAAAAGACATAAAATAACAAATGTTGATGAGAATGTAGAGAAATTTAAACATTTGTACACTGTTGGTGGAAATGTAAAGTGTATAAGCCATTATGGAAAACAGTATGGAGTTTCCTCAAAGAAATTAAAAATTGAACTATCATATGACCCAGAAATACCACTTTTCCAATTTCAAAAGAATTGGAAACAGGATCTTGAAAAGATATTTGTACTACCATGTTCATTGCAGCATTATACACAATAGCCAACAGGTGAAAACAAACTGAATGTCCATCAGTGGATGAATGGATAAACAAAATAGTATGTACACACAATGGAATAGTATTCAGTCTTAAAAGAAGGAAATCCTGTCACATGGCTGCAACACGGATTTTGAGGACATTGTGCTAAGTGAAATAAACCAATCTCAATAGGACAAATACTGTATGATTGCACTTATATGAGGTATCTAAAGTAGTCAAACAAATAGAAGCAAAAAGTCAAATGGAAGTTGCCACAGGCTAGGAGAAAGGGATATTGATTGCAGTTTGATGGGTATAGGATTTCAGTCATATAAGATGAAAAAGTTCTTGAGATTTGCTGTACAACAATGGGCATATAGGTAACAACAATGTATACTTAAGATTTTTTTAAGAGGGTAAATCTCAGATTGTGTCTTTTACAATTAAAAAAAAATGCTGCATGATTAGACCCAAGTTTTGCCTTTCTTTCTCTTCCTAATCCAACTATGCCCTCTGGTGGTTATAGTTGCTGCTAGAACTAAAATACTCTACTCTTTATAATATCCTTTCCAAATTCCTTTGTAGGTCAGCCCTGTGGAAGACAGAATAATTTCCCTGTAGAGACAATGTTATAAATAATGCCAGATACTGGAGGATTGATTGAAACTGACCGTGACACCTCTGTGACCTAATCCAAATCATCTCCTCTCACTCCCTGCTCCCAAGCACATTGGCCTTTGTGCGGTTCCTTCAAAGAACACCTGCATCTTCCAGGGGTCTGGAAATTGGCAGTAAATGCTTTTCCCCTGATCTTCAAATACACTTCCAAGAGAGCTTCTTTGTTCACTCTAAAGTATCCTCCCACCTGCGCACATTACTTTTAGTGATTTGTTTACTTGCTTATTTTTGCAATGTAAGAATTAAGAATGTAAGCTCCATGAGGCTTGGCTTTATATTTTGTTCAATGCTATATGCCCAGCACTTGGAATAGTGACTGACACAACTACCTTGTCCATTTTGAATAAATGAATGGACTAAGAAAATACAAATCAGACTGATATTAATTACTGGCTTATGATTTCATTATGATTTTTTAAACAGTCAAATGTGATGGTTGATCTGCAAAGATGTCTCAAACAATACTCCCTCCCTACAGTTGCATGTTACTTCTCAATCAAGAGGTGGAGTTCTGGGCCGGGTGAGGTGGCTCATGCCTGCAATCCTAACACTCTGGGAGGCTGAAGGGGGAGTCGTTTGAGCTCAGGAGTTCGAGGCCAGCCTGAGCAAGACGAGACCTGTCCTCTACTAAAAATATAGAAAGCAATTAACCAAACAACTAAAAATATGTAGAAAAAAATTAGCCGGGCATGGTGGCGCATGCCTGTAGTCCCAGCTATACTCGGGAGGCGGAGGCAGGAGGATCACTTTAGCCCAGGAGTCTGAGGTTGCTGTGAGCTCGTCTGATGCCACGGCACTCTAGCCCAGGCAACAGAGTGAGACTTTGTCTCAAAATAAATAATAAATAAATTAAAAAGAGGTGGAGTTATGTCCCTTCCCTTCTCATCTGGCTGGGTCTGTGACATTCACCAGAATGTGGAGGAGGTGAAGGTCTAGGACTTCCTGAGCTCAGACTTTAAGAAGGTCTGGCAGCTCTGTTTCTCCCTCTTGGACCCTGAGCCACACATGAAGCTCTGGAGGATGACATCATGTGCAGAAAGAGACCACACAGAAGAGCACAGCCCTGCCACTTCACAGCAACTGGTGAGAGACCCAAGTGAGACATGGAATATCTGCCCATCCAATTCATGCAATTGTGAGACAACATGAAGGGTATGTATTAAGCCTCTAAGTTTTGGAGTGGTTCTATTATGTAGCGCGATAGATAAAAGTCAAGAACATTTTAATTTATTATCAAACAAAATTATGTACATTATAGCAACATTAGGGTAATCCAAATTAAATGATTCACCAACATCAGGTCTCTCTAAATTGTCCAAGTGTTTTTACTTGTCTATATGCTCTTCAGTTCTTTTTTCCTACATTGCTAAAATCTTAATATAATTTCCTTGGTCACTTTGGAATGGATCTGATAATATTCCACAGAGTTTTTTCTAGTCCCTTCCAAATGGGATTTGGGTTTTTAATTATCTGTTTAGACACAGTAGTGTCCGTGTCATCACTGGTCCCTTACTGAAGAGGGCCCTAGGAATCATACAGCACACATGGGAGCTGACACATAAGGCAATCGAGCATTGATGGCATATCATGTACAACAACTAGACTCAGATTGCTCCTTCCCTCAACCCTTCCTTCTTTCAGCCAGCCTTTAGAAGGGGCTGGTGAGGGAAGGCTGGGAAGAGATGAAATCTTTGGAGTTTTGTTGTGTAATATAGCTGAGAGATTGATTTGATACCAGACCATGGGTCGAAGGGTTTTTTCTTCACTCCTTTTTTTTTTTGAGACAGAGTCTCGCTTTGTTGCCCGGGCTAGAGTGAGTGCCGTGGCATCAGCCTAGCTCAACAGCAACCTCAAACTCCTGGGCTCAAGCGATCCTCCTGCCTCAGCCTCCGAGTAGCTGGGACTACAGGCATGCGCCACCATGCGGCTAATTTTTTCTATATATTTTTGGTTAGCCAATTAATTTCTTTCTATTTATAGTAGAGGATGGGGTCTCGCTTTGCTCAGGCTGGTTTCGAAACTCCTGACCTCAAGCAATTCGCCACCTTGGCCTCTCAGAGTGTTAGGATTACAGGCGTGAGCCACTGCACCCAGCCTTTTCTTCACTCTTTTGTTGTTGTTGTTCTGATCTCCTTCCTTTTCCCTTCTTGTTGCCTTCTAGTTGAAGGTGACTTTGACTCTGGGGGGCTAAGAGGGACTATGGGTTGGGCAAGAGAAAGAAAGCAGATTGCTTAATATTTGTCCCAAGAGGCAGAGGGGACCTTTTAGTTTCCTTCTTAAGTGGTCTGCTCCTTGAAGGCCCTGGGATGGGTATGGGCTTCAGGGAAGAAGGTGTGCCTATAAATAAAGATGTTAGATCTGACCGAAGCACTAACTGCCTTCCTTCCTCCCTCTCTCTCTCCTCTCTTCTCCCTGATGGTGCTTCTGATAGTGAGGGGGACAGAGATGTAATAGTGGTAGCAGTGACTGTGGATATGGTGATTTTTCATTTGGTTTGCCAAGCAAGGAGGGCTGTGGAGGAGGGCCAGGAGGGTGTAAGTCATGTGACCTAGGGCTGCTATCACCACTAGTTCAAGTACTATCTTTATGGGTGTGGATGGGCTCTTGCAGTATATGCCATTATTATTATTTTTTTTTATTTTTTGAGACAGAGGCTCACTCTGTTGCCCAGGCTAGCATGCGTGGCATCACCCTAGCTCACAGCAACCTCAAACTCGTGGCTCAAGTGATCCTTCTGCCTCAGCCTCCGAGTAGTTGGGACTACAGGCATGCACCACCATGCCCGGCTAATTTTTTGTATA